GCGGAAGTCACCATCGGGTGCTGGGCAAGTCACCCCCGTTGCTCTCTGCTTGGGGGCCGCCTTTGTAACGACCCGGTATGCCCATGGCGGGGAGACCCTGAGGTGGCTCAGCTGGAGGAGCATCGAGAGTCAACCCGAGGGAGACAGGGCTTGGCTCGTCGGGCCCAGACAGGAGGCCCTGGTGCTGTGCGGCGACTGCACCGCTCCGCGGTCTCTGCCTGCTAACGACTGTACGGCCGTCACGCCGTGAACCCGTCACGCTGTGAGCCGTCTGGTTGGTGTTTCGCTCCAGGCTAGCAGCTGCGTTGCAGGCAGCAGGCACAGAAGAGCACGGGTGGAGCAGGAGAGCGGTAACAGAGAGGGCTCCCCTGGACGGGGTGCGCTTCCCACTGCCCGGCGGTGCTCCCGGCTCCTTTGTGGTTCTTCCTGCAGGTGAAGGGGAAGCGACAAACTGAGGCACGAGGTTGAGAGCAGGGTGGTGGAACCGTTTCTTTGACTTGCAAAAGCGTTCATGTCAGATGTCCTCAGAGAGCTAAGTTTCTGTTTGAAATGTGATACTTAATTATTCATTTAGGGTTCCCTGAATTTTGTGGATCTGCACTGACAAATGAGTTTAGAGGTGTCCTGCTATACGCTTGTGTAACGGTGTAGACAAAAACAAGGGATAGTTTGACTCATTTAGAACAAAAGATGTCCTGGCACACCAGGTGAAAGCAGAGCAAGTTAAATTCAGATATTATCTGAATATTTGTATCTTGCAGTATGCTTGTATGTGAAGTTTTCTTGGCAGAAAGACCTTGCAAGCTAGGGTGGTGTCAACAGTGTTTTCAGTTTGGATAGTCAGAATTGAGATCTTTGTTGCTCTTGCTGGCTAGTCAGGTTTTCTGTTTTCAGTGAGTTTTCATCAGAACAGATGAAGTTCTGGTTTCCATGAACATCTGAACTCACAACGATTTTGACATGGTTGTGCTGTAGAGCCAAGTTTCAACTCCTTATTTTTCTTCTGTTTTTTGAAGAGGACAAAGTTAAGCTCCAGAAACTGTCAAAATCATTCTCAGGTGACTGTTGCTGAAAAGTAATTTCTTTTGTAGAACCCCAGCCAGGTGTGCTTAAGGTTCCTGAGGCACGGGAGCCTCTGATGTATGTGGTGCGAAGAGGCCAGGTGGGATCGCTTTGCTGGCTTAGCTGCAGTGGCTAAATTGGAAAAATACCCACACATGGATGTTCTGTACCGGTGTAGAAAGTGTCAGGTGCAGTAGCAGTACAACTGGGCCGTGGTTTAAGATTATTTGTGCAAGTTTCTGGCAAAAGGTGTAGTTTTATATTCCTCCCGCCTCCCTTGTCCCTGATGTTTGTGAGGCTGCACGGTGAGCTAAACCAGGGACCTTCCCTCTCCAAAAACAAACCCAGCAAAAAGGTTCTCGTGTCCGAGGGATGCATCCATGGACCTGGTGTTTCGTGTGGCTGCAGTGCTTGGTCCAGCGGACCACAGGTGGTATTGAGCATAGGTTGGGACCATGGCACTGAACCTTAGTTGTCTTAATACCAAATGAAACAGCCCAAACCTTGCTTGCTTCTGCATGATTCTCTGCTGGTTAGGCTCAGCTTAGAGCAGTCACAGACCTGCCCTAACCCATGCTGGCCAGACCTGTCCTGTGCAGTGGAGACTTCTGGTCTCTCTGTAGCCTCTCTCAAGTGAACCAACCGCAGTCAGTGGTGCTGCGTCCCTGTTCCTTGCACCTTCTGTCAGCTTCTAGCTCCGCAAAGCACTGTTCTGGGGACACGGCAAGGATCTTGCCTTTGGGCTGTGTGTGCGCTGCTGGTTAGGTCTGGCCTGCCTGTGGGGAACTGCTGCTCAACAGCTCACTTTGTGGACCGAGGGTCGCTGGGGTGTGCTGCCCTCTTGCCATAACACTGCTGTACCGGTCAGAGTTGTTGCAGTGTTGTGAGAACTTCTGAGCTTTCCTGGAGGACGGCTTCACTAATTTATCAGGCCAAACTTCACTGTCACTCTCAGCGTCATTGTACTTAGATCTTTTCAACATACATGAACCCAGTAAATACCAATACCCTAGGAGAGGCTGGTGCAGAGCTAGACAACCTGCCCAAGCTGTGGACAGTTGATGTTTTCTGTGCCTGTTGGGACCCCTGTGAACTCTCTGCAGATGTCTCTCTGGTCTCATTCACAAAGAATGTGTATCCTGGACAAGTCTGATTTTTTTTTCTCTGAGGGAAGCTGTAAATGAATGCATGGAGGTCTTCATGTGGAGAAGAAAAGGTGCTTTTTTTTTTAGAGGAGGTAACGTCCTTCAAATTGTAGTTCCTAGAAGTTGTTCTGGTTTTGGCAAGTGAATTAGGTGACACAGTAAGATACTAAATCTTGCTCCAGACTTTTCTGCATCCTCAGAGTATTAATGGTAGTGTGGTTTAATGTCTGTTGCAAAATTAATCTCAAAAAACATGGATAACAATTAGCCATGTTCCCAGCCTGAGTCTCTGCTAATGCCCAATTTAGACTGGTGCCAGTGCCTTGCTATTGCTGCCTTTGACCATCACTTCCATAACAACGCTACTGCATTTAGAAAACAACACCTTTTGTCAGAGAACTCCTTTTGCTTTGTAGTTAATAGCATGTGATGTCTGATAGCAATCCGCTGACTTCTTGATATTTTAAAAAGTAAAACTCTTAAATCTAAACTTTATAAAATAAGCTTTTAGTGAAAAAATGACTCAGTTGCAGAAAGGCTAGATATTTTAAATAAGCCTTTGAATCAGTCTTATTTCTGCCTTCACCATTTACTGGCTTCATGCTATTCTGATGTAGAAAAATGCAGGCAGGCAGCAGAGCTGCTTGAGTAGTCAGATTATTGGGGAAGGGTGCTATCCTTTAGAATTTGGTTTAAAAATTCTGCTCCTGAATACGCAGTCTGAATGTCATCTTTATGCTGCTTTTGGGTGGATGCCAAACTAGATAGCTATCGAAGTCAGTGTTACGGAAGGAGATGAGGAAACGGTACATCTTTACCCTGGAGAAGGTGGTTGCACTTCAGGACTGGCTGCCTGTTAAAAAGTGGTAGTGTAGCTGGGGTAACATCTGTAGAGATCTTAGGGGAATATTGTTGTAGTTGGTAAGGGAGGGAGACTGGAGGGAGTTGTTACCATATGTTGTCCTCTTTAATGAGGGTTAGTGCAATGACAGAGTGTAAAAGGTGGCTCGCAGCTGGTTGGCTCACATGTGTGAGCAGGCTGCCACACTTGACGCAGGCTGCGCCTCCTTTCTCAGTACAGCCTCTGTCAGACCCTCGCGTTTTACAGAGCTCTTCAGCTGATCGTCTCACACCCTGAAAAGCAAACTACGGTGTCTCAGAACCCCCCAAAAAGTGCTGCCAGTGAATGGACAGAGGGAGGCCACGACATTGGCACAGTCATGTGGGAAATCTGCAGTAGAATTTCAGAGTAGATGCCTTTCCACTTACTCTTGGGTGCTGTTGTCTTTTTTTTTTTTCCTCTTTCCTGCAACATTAAGCAAATATCCTCACATGAACAAAGCAGTGGGTTTCATGCCAGAGCTTGATTCTTCTTCTTTTTTCCCAGACAGGAAAACCACTGAGTTCGTGCACTGCACTGCAGTGATGGGACAAATCACTCTCAAGTAACTTCTAAAAAAACCACTGATGTAAATGCACTTAACTGTGTGATTTAAATAATGCCATCATTGGATCTATGAAGTACACAGCTGTTATAAAACAACCACCTTGCATGTTTAAAAAAAAAAAGTGAATTAAAAGATCATGTGGTCTGTCCAGCAAATGTACCAGCTGTGCATTAATTATGCCAACGGCCAAGCAGGAGAAGAGTCGTGGTCTCTCGGAAAAGGAGTTAGAGAAGTTAACCTCTCCAGAATAAAACAGCATACTATTTTTTTCTACTTTTTTGTGTATTAGGTGCTTGAGAATAGGCATCTGCAAGAAGGCAATTAAAAAAATCTAAACACTGCTGCAGATTCTGTGCAGTGTAAACAGAAAGCCAAGCTAAGTAATGGTGAAGCTGTGAAGAGTCATGGTCTCTCAGAAAAGGAGTTAGAGAAGTTAACCTCTCCAGAATAAAACAGCATACTATTTTTTTCTACTTTTTTGTGTATTAGGTGCTTGAGAATAGGCATCTGCAAGAAGGCAATTAAAAAAATCTAAACACTGCTGCAGATTCTGTGCAGTGTAAACAGAAAGCCAAGCTAAGTAATGGTGAAGCTGTGTTTCTGTGAGATTAGGGAATGGAGTTTAGCTGGATGCGCACAGATATAATTTCTTTTACTGAATACAAATGTTTCTGCTTTGCTCTGCTCCCCTGCAGGTCAGTGTTGACTGTTGCTTGTGAACAGACTGAAGTACTGCTTTTTGACCCAATATCTTCAAAGCACATCAAAACTCTCTCTGAAGCTCATGAAGACTGTGTAAATAATATCAGGTAGGTCAGAAGGAATAAAAGACCTCATATCTTGTCTTACCATAGATGCTTTTCTTATGACAGCGTAAGTTTGTGTTACACGCTTTCTTGGGGAGAGTGGGTTTTGTGAAGCCATTAGGCTGCAGTTTGTGCCATTTTCCTTCTCTTTGGTATTGGAGGTGGGGAAAGGCTGGAAAGGGGAAGAGGGGAAATCTGAAAGTGGTGGTGGTAGTATATAATGCAGGTGGTTTTGCTGATGGACGAGATGCAGTTTATGGGAGGGGAAGAGTGTTAAGATATTATCACCTGTTTTAACTGGCCTTTGGAATGCCCTGATTGAACGCGGTAAATCAGAGCATGACAAGTAGTGTGTGATTTATGTTTGAAGTGCAAGTCCTAGACCGTAGCAAGATCAGATGTTTATATGAATATGCCTGGTATTTTGAATCGTAAGAATAATTGCCATAGTTGCATAGAAATTTCCAAACAAAGATTGGCTGCTTTAAAGACAGGTATGATATAGAAGAGCTGGTAAAGTGAAATGGCTTCCGCAATTCAACTTAAACTCAGTCTTTATGGTTTAAAACCTTTGCCTGTTTGTCAGGATGAAGTGGGAAACAGCAAGTACAGGAGCCTAAATCATCAGTATTTTTGTTATGTAATATTTTTCCTTTTAAACTCTATTATAATTTTTAGCTGTTCTGGGTCTGAGGATAGACTTCACACATGAACTTAAGACACTTTTTAACCTTGTGGACAATATGGCAGCCTCTCTTCACTCAGATTCTCAAAGCAAAAAAACCCCCCAAAACCCAAACCAAAAAACCCCAGGAAAACTGTAGAAGCAATCTGAGCATTTCCTCTCAAAAGAGCTGAATAAAATGTGGGGTGCCAGTGTCTTTACGCGTTCTTCAGATAAATTGCTGTTTTTCACAAGCTGCCTGTCCTTTTTAGAAGAGACTGAAGTTTTACATCAGTTGGATGTCTTTCAGAAAAGCTAAAGTGAAAGCTGGGGCTAGCTGACACAAATAGAAGAGGAGATGTTTGGAATGTGCTTTTCTGTAAGGAAATAAAACTTCACGTCTTGCATGCCAGTGGTTGTTCTTTAAACATGTTTAGTTTTTATATAAAGCTAGGTGAGAAATAAAGCCATGTAATCAACATATCAGAAGACAAAGGCAACCCGGGTTTATTTTGATTTTTGTACATCCGTAATTCAGTATCTGAGCCTTACAGTCAAGCTGCTCTTGCTAGGGTTTCAGGTGAGTTAGTCTGGACCATGTTTTACAAAGAGCGTTCTGTTGCAGGCCCCTTGACTGGTTGGCTGTCTCTGTTGTAGTCAGCTGTGCTGGTCTTGAAAATTTCTCTCATTCCTTGGTTGAGAACAGAATGGAAACTTCCTGCCACTCTCTTCTGTTATTCAGAGGATCACCTTTCTTTCCACTTTGGCTGTCTGTGAGGCTTTGTAAGGCTGTTCTTGGTCCTTAAATGTCTTTTCTCTGTGTAGTTTGATTTACATAAAAATACCAGTACTACCTCCAAGCAGATAACTCTCAGATCTACTGCTAATCACCAGACTAAGGTCCTTCCTAGCAATGTGTAGTAAACTTTCTGCTTTCCTTCACAATGCTTCTTAAAGCTTTATTTTGTCTTTGTAGGATAGTGGCATCTTTTTCTGTGTTTTCGTGCAGATCCCCATTTGTTTGTTGTTATAAACTTAGTTACAAGGAACTTAACTATATTCTGTAATACGTGGTTAGTACAGCATTACCTGGACTATTGTTTCTGCTTAATGAGCAGGACTCCAGCCACTATACTACTACAGAAATGCCTTGTAATAAGCACCAAAAATAAATACCATTACTGCTGTGCCCTATAGCACGTGCCTCAGAGGTATGTATGAACAGGGAAGCGTGTAATGGTCCTCTTCCAGTAGTCTCCCAGTCGCTGGGGATTTGTGTGTAGTCATCTGAAGCAGACTTTTTTTCCCACCTGAATTTGGTCAGGTTTTGACCTTACTTAAAACTTTCCCATGGCAGAACTCCGTGGCACAAATGTGTTTCAAGGAGTATTTAATAGCGTTTTTAAAACTTGCTAGCTTAGTTTGAAGGCCTCTAGGTTTTTTTGTTTTCTTAAGTAGGAAGACAAGGAACAACTAATCTCTATTTACTTCCTCCATGTCAGTCAGTTTTATATGCCTGAGTCATATGCACCTTCAATTAGCTGTTTTTCAAGTGAATTCTAGTCTACTTGGTCATTCCCTACATGAAAGCTGTTCAATACAATTTGTATCTCCCTGTCTGTTTCTACTGAAACCTCTTTGTGGTGGGTGAAGCAGGGTTGCCTGTAGCATCCAAGATAAAGGCAAATGATGGATTTATACAGGCAAGAGGTGTATTCTGTTTTACTTTCGCCCTGAAAATCTGAAATGTTGGATTCTTCCCATTGTAGTTGGTTATTTTTCATTGGAGTTGTTATTTTAACGTGATGTAGCCTGGGTCTAAGTCTGAAAGATAAAATGCTGTTTCTAGGGGTAACTTACCACATGTCTCTGTGTAGATCGTTCTTGCCTTAGTATTCATGTGCAGCTACTTCTGGTGGTTTTTGCATAGGTTTTATTTTCCCTTTTATGTCAGGTACGGCTTTTTTTTCCAAATGCCTTCATCAGGCATGAATTCCAAACATAAAACACTATATGCTTCTAAAAGCAAGGGCATGCATAAACTGTGGTGGGAATGGAGTATGATAAACTTCGATTTGTGTAATGCAAACTAAATAGTTTTATCCAGATTTTCTCAGTGAACTAAATAACTTGTCTAAGTACGCTTTCAAACAAAGTCTTGTCTTCACCTGGTGTTTTTGAAAAGTCTTGCATTTGCTTCAGTAACCTTTAGTCTCAATTTATTCAATTTATTACCTAGCTATGCCTTTTTAGTGCTGATTCCAGCCCTTCTATCCCCTTCTGTCTGATGGAGTGCTTTTACATCAGATATTCTTTCCTTCTGTAGTCACTTAAAGGTGGTCGAGTTGCCTCATACTACTTCAGGCAGGAGTGATATATACCTTGAATTTTGGCTGAAGACCAGAGATTATCATGATAAAGAATTACCACCTGAACAGGCTAAGTACTTAACCTGATCAGTGTAGTAATCCAACTAGTATGACCCGTATTCTTTTCTCCTTTCTCACCTTCTCCCGATATGACATTAGTGATGAGCCTGTCATCTGTTAAGAAAGCAGGCGCTCAAGACCTGCTAAGTGCAGAACAGACACAGTGCATATGGAGCACTATGCATGTGATATAAATTCACTGCTGCATAAAAGTGTACTGTAGAACTGCAGGTCTGTAAATACCTTGTGAAATACAGAGCAGTAGGCTTGCTCTTCTTGCAGTAGTTTGAGTTAAACAGAATTTCATGTTATATTGTGATTCAAACTCGAATGACTCAAATCCTCAAATGCACATCTGTATTGAAGGAGTCCATAAATTTGGATAGCCTGCGCCACTTGTGCAGCTGCTACTTCCAAAGATGATCTGAAATTCTCATCCTAAACAGTGCTCTGCACTTGCACTTTGACATGCATACCTGCTTTTGTGCATTTGAAAAGCCCAACTTCATGTGCCTGCTTCAAACACATGAACTGTACTGTGGGGAAAGGAAGGGCAGAAACGTGGGAGCAAAAGCCCCTTGCTTTTTGTTGGAGACTGTTGAGACTGTCCAGGTGGTTCAAATGCAGGAGGTCTGCATGGCTCCTCCTGGCTCTGCAGCGAGTAGTGCTCCTGGGGCATTGTGGAGCTGGACGGGCTCCACAGCAAAAGATGGGCAAAAGCGGAATGAAATTAAGGGTCGAGGGAAATGTGCAAACAGTGGCAGTGTTCAGATCTAAATCTAGTACATGTTTCCAAGATGGCAATACTGTGTGTAGTGTAAGCCATGTGGCTAGTAAAGCAAGCCATACATCGGACAGTTAATCCAGAAAAGTACTGTTGTATGTCCCATGTAAAACCACGGGGCCAACTTTTCAGCGTGCTTGGTGCAGGCATGTGGTGTGCCTCAGGCGTCTGTGCAGAGCTGTGGCCACATCACAGAGTGGCAGGAGGTCTGGTTGGAAATGGCCTCTGGAGATCCATCATCTGTAACAGCATTCTGGTAAGAGCAGAGCTTTGGGTTGCCTCACTAGCACCCCGATAAGCCTGGCACTGAGTGCCTCCAGCATGGGAGGTTTCACTGCTATCTGTGCCAGGCTGGCTAGGCAGGGTTTTTCTGAAAGCATGTCCCCGTTGATTGACTCCTATTGCAGGCTTTGCGACGAGCGCTGTGTTCTGCCTGTGCCAGTGGGGTCAAGATCTGGTGAGAGCTTTTGGTCAGGACTGACTACATCGGATGCCGAGCGACCATGTGTGGTACAGAGCAATGTCAGGTCTTGCAGAGGGGCAGGTGTTCAGGCACTAGCTAAAGGAGGCTTGGACACCACGTGTTTCAGCTGAGCTAGTGGGATGTGTGCTGTACGGAGCAGCAAGGTTTAAAAGCAGTAGGGGGCTTCCAGTAGGAATAACAAAAGGTGATCTTCATTTTAAAAACCTCCTTTGAGTGCAGGGAGCTTATGTCTGCGGTGGGGAAGAGGGGAAGAAGGAGGGTGGATATGTGGGTGGAAATGAAGAGAGTAAAGAAAGGCATGGGTTTAATTAATTATGAGCTGATAGAATCTTGTATAGTCTGAAATGAAGGTGTCTTCTGGTGCTGCCTGTCTGTAGTAGCGAAAGGATCTGGCAAAAATGGGGAAGATGAAAGGCATAAATTACAAACAATCTAGCATAGCAGACCTCTGTTGCAGGGACTGCCAAACCAGTCAATGGGAATGTCTTGCCAGTGGTCTAAAAGCTGACCAGTTCTAGGACGTTTGTGTCTTATAAAGACTTGGTAAGTTTAAAGCTGAGTATTGTCCAGATGGGTAACTGATTTAGTTGCCACAGGGATTCTGTGTGAGCGTTTGTTCCACTGATGGTTTGGTGGTTGTGTGATCTTTAGGAGATTCATTAAAAAAACCCAAACAAACAAACTTCTGCTATGCTTCTGCGGGTTTACTAGTTTGCTACTACAGTTGTGCTACTGGTTCATATCCAACAGTACTGTTTTTTAATGGAGCTGTTTTATTGGCAAATATTCTGCTGTATGTTAATTCGTTTGTGTTTTTTGTGTGGCCACTCTATTTCTGTGTTAGCTTAAATTCCTGCTTAAGAATATTTAAATTAGAAAAGGCACTATGCAGCCACAGTATTTCTCTCCCATTTTCAGGTTTCTAGATAATCGATTGTTTGCGACTTGTTCTGATGACACTACAATAGCACTTTGGGATTTGAGAAAGCTGAACACAAAAGTGTGCACTTTACATGGTCACACCAGCTGGGTTAAGAACATCGAGTATGATACCAATACGAGATTACTAGTAACATCAGGGTTCGATGGAAATGTGATCATCTGGGACACAAACAGGTATGTGGCTGTGTTTGTGCTGTTATGTTTCTAGAATACACAAGGATAGGGTTCTTCTGTACAAGACGAAAAACCTGCTTCCTTGAATGGAGCTATAATGCATTCTTAAATACTGTGATTAGTTTATAGCCCTTATCAAGAACTTGCATCATCTTTATATGGTAATAGCCCAGTAACTAAAAAGAGAGCTTTTCTTGCTGACATGCCAAAATGTAGTTCTTCCTTTTTGAAAAAGTTCTGTCTTCATTGTTGTGGTAGTATGAAAATGTGACTTCTGCCATTTCATTAAAATCTGATTTAAGTAGGATAAAGACAGTACTCCAAAAAAGTTTCCGGATGAACAAGGATGCTTAGTACATCTTGGACTCTTCTGGACATTATTAGGGACTTGAGTCGAAGCTAATTGCAACTATTTCTTGTGCTTTTTTTGCTGTCTAGGTGCACAGAAGATGGATGTCCCCACAAGAAGTTTTTTCACACCCGTTTTCTTATGCGAATGAGGCTGACACCAGACTGTTCCAAAATGTTGATCTCAACCTCCTCTGGATATCTCCTGATTTTGCATGACCTTGACCTAAACAAATCTTTAGAGGTTGGCAGCTACCCAATTTTAAGAGCTAGGAGGACTACATCAAGTTCAGGTGAATGCTTGTGGAAAAGTCTGTGGCAGCTTCTGTGTTAGAGGTGTTTTATGGGATACTCCTAGCTAGTAAAAGAAGGCAGAGGTGGAGTTGGAAGGATTCTGCCAAGGAACTCTTCAGCACGGTAGCTGCTCTGTTGTTCAGAGGTCACATGCATCTGTACTGTTGAGTGGTATGTTCTGATTCAGGTAAAGTGTCCAGGGTGATTTTTGGTATCAAGAGTTCAGCACTACAGGATATAGCGCCTGTGGGATTTTGTCACCTTGAGCTGGCAGTCTCTAGCTTTATTTATCCACTGTCCTTGGTCCTGTAATAAGTGAAACTTAACCCATGTTGAGTGGGCTGACTGTGTGTGAGCTCCAGCAACTACTAATGACTGTTCTGTAGCGGTGTGGCTGCTCTCGACAGCAGACCTGCAAGAATTGCCTGCTCTGAAATTTCACTGCTTGCTTCTTCCTGCTTTCTGTCAGTATTTTGCTCTGTTACTGCCACAAACTCTGCCATTTGGGGGTGTCAGGATATAAAGGGAGTGGCCTGGGGAAAAATTCATACCCCAGCTTCTAGTAGCGACAGTGTATAAGAAGGAAGGACTGCAACTTGCCTCATATTCCCAGTAGAGTTTGTTGTGCTGGCAGTTTATTTCTATGAGGCAGAAACAGAATGGTGCTATAAACTGAGCTTTGAAAAGTGTTTTCTTAACAAGATGCCTTACTCTTACCCTTTACTTAACATTTCTAAGGAGGGTTAAGTGAGGAACATGCATAGTAAGTGGGCTGTGCTTAGCTGTTATGTTCACATGGCTGATGCTGTTTGCAGACATAACATCATCAGGTTCATCTGGTCCTCGAGCTGTTGGTTCACCGTGTCACCAGAATGATTCAGGTCCACTGTCTGAGAAACACATGTCACGGTCCTCCCAGCGAGAAGGTAGGAAAAGATTTAAAAAAAATAAAAAATAAAGAATCATGGACTTTGACTCATTGTATCCAGAAGAGGCCGGAGTATGACAGTGAAAAACTGTGGTTTTGTCTCTGTGACTTTCAAACGAATAGTGTTGCTATGACTTCTGTTAAACCAGTAAAATATCATTGCACACCAAAGTGTGGGGATCTAATCAGTTTTTTTCCCAAGAAATCTGATAACAGCAACAAGATCTTTATTTTATATTAGTACATTATTGTTGTTATGTAGAGGTGCTCCCTTTTCCTTGTGTTTTTTTTTCCTCAAAGTTTGTGTGAATGAACTTCAGGTGAAAAAAGAAAAAAAAAAAAAAAAAAAAAAAAAAAAAAAAAAAAAAAAAAAAAAAAAAAAAAAAAAAAAAAAAAAAAAAAAAAAAAAAAAAAAAAAAAAAAAAAAAAAAAAAAAAAAAAAAAAAAAAAAAAAAAAAAAAAAAAAAAAAAAAAAAAAAAAAAAAAAAAAAAAAAAAAAAAAAAAAAAAAAAAAAAAAAAAAAAAAAAAAAAAAAAAAAAAAAAAAAAAAAAAAAAAAAAAAAAAAAAAAAAAAAAAAAAAAAAAAAAAAAAAAAAAAAAAAAAAAAAAAAAAAAAAAAAAAAAAAAAAAAAAAAAAAAAAAAAAAAAAAAAAAAAAAAAAAAAAAAAAAAAAAAAAAAAAAAAAAAAAAAAAAAAAAAAAAAAAAAAAAAAAAAAAAAAAAAAAAAAAAAAAAAAACCCAGAGCAGAACATAGCTGTTTTGCTCTTTGTTTTCCTTAATGATGGGAAGATATATGGGCAGTTTCTCCATGAGGAGTCAATACTGTAGAACAAAGAACAGGTCTTAAATGTGGACAGTGTTTTGTGAAGTTCTGATTACAAACCAAGTCCTGCGTAACTACAGAGCTATGAAAACTGATGATCCTGTGATTAGCAGGCTTCCTCTGAATCTAGGGTACACTTTCAGTCAGTGTGAACTTGGCAAATTGGTAAATACTTTGTGAATCACATGCAATTTAAAGTAAGTATAATGTTAAGTTTTAACTACTCATGGTTGTGAGATCCTCAAACATACTTATGAAAGGAGGAGGCTTATCTGGATGCCAGGGCATGATTTACCTGAGAAAAGCTTTCTAGGGCTGAGGAGGAGAAGGGAGGCAAGTTGCATACAGCTGAGCAGACTTTGGAAGGAATTTGGAAACGACATCATACAAGTTTGAGAACAAGTAGTTCTTATAAAAAAACCCACTCTTTAGTCTCTGTTTTAATGATAATGAAGAGTGTATGTGTGGAAAGTTAACTCTGACTTAGTTCACAATATGAGGTGATTTAATGCAGGTCTTGGAAGGCAAATTTCAAGAAAGAAGTTATTTGAAATCAGGACTGAGCCCATTGGTATTAGCTTCAGTTGTTCGTATAACCTCTGCTTTGAATTATCCTTTCATAAAGGTGCAGTCTTTTCTAGCAGTCAGATGCAAGGGTGACATATTTGACCTAGTTTCAGCAGTAGACTGATGAGAGGTGTGAAGATCAATGTACAGACTTCATTGAGACTTACAGTTGACTTTCCCTTCTAGGTGGATCACCTAGAAATAGTTTGGAGGTCTTAACACCAGAGGTCCCTGGAGAAAGAGATCGAGGCAATTGCATTACATCACTACAGCTACATCCAAAAGGGTGGGCTACGCTTCTTCGGTGCTCAAGTAATACAGATGACCAGGAGGTAAAACATGTATTTTTTTAAAAATACTTTGAGTAAGATGTATCGATCATACAACTATATTGAAACTTCCTTGTTTTGGGGTAAATTTGCATTTGAATAAATTAGTCAGTTACTTCTGCTTACAAATGCATTAATTTTAGACCAAGATTATTAAATTCTTTTTTCTTGATTTTTTTAAATGATCTCCTATGACTCTGTATCCTGCATTCAGTACTGCTGTTGCCCAGCTCTTTCACAGAATATGTTTTATAGTTCACAGCTCTGTTAAAAGTTTTCAAACAGTAGTTGTGCTGCCAAATACATGACTTAAAAATATGTACCTGCCAAAATATAGGAGGCATAAGCTTGGAAAAGGTAGAGGATTAGGGAGTTGTGTATTGGTGACCATGGTTTAAGTTGAGCAGAGAAGCTCCTCTGAATTCCTCAAGTGCCTTCAGAATGTTTTCTACCTCCATTGGTGCTCCAAGGATGAAGTGCTCCTGCTGTGCTGATGAATGCTTTCCAGAGGCTGCTCCTACACTGCTGTGAGAAAACCTCATGGCATATTTCTGCATCTACTTAAAACTGCCACACCATAGGTCTGAATATGATGAACTCCAGTGATGTTTATGTAATGTCAAAGTGCCTTGGTCTCAACTGTCATCCTAAAACTCTGCAACTTAAATATAAAGGGGGTATCAATGATCTTCCTGGCAGAATCCATTTCAAGCCTTTACTTGAAGTACTAAGTCATAAGACCAGGTACAGCTCACCTGCAACTTGCAGATTTCATTCCCCTAAATACTGCTTTAAAGAAGTAATGGTAGACTTTAAGGCCAGTGTTGGATTATGTTTCCCCAGATTCTGTTTGTGAAGTGTCACATAATAGCTGCTATATTGCACTGGGACCCTGTTTTAAGACAAACAAGCAGTCTGTAATGCACTCAGAAATAATGAAAAAACTTCTTCATGGACTGTATACAAAAAGCAAGAGCCTGCAGGTTGTGTTTGGGAGCACCTGCTTTTAAAGAAGTAACTTTCAGGTGAACTCAAATTTACTTATAACTTAAAGCCCAGCCAGAGCCTTCAGAGCACTTGGATTCCGCCAGATGATCCTCTTGCAAACACCATTTTTTCCTAGGTTTATTTAAAACTTACTGCTGTGACAGTTGTGCAGACCACTCTGTTTTCAAGACACAGAGGTTTTGTATTTGTTTTGCAAAACCACAAAGAATTATTTGAATACTTGACCAATAATAAACAGTTTAGTTAATTTGATAGCTGATGTAATGGGGTTGGTTTTGGGTTTGTTTAGGTTTGTTTGGGGTTTTTGGAGGGTGGTGTTGTGGTTGCTTGGTTGGTTGGTGGTTTTTTTTGTTTTTGAAGAAAGCCACTCTTTGTAATGGTAGCCTCTTAGAGATGTGTAGAGGACTGAATGGAAGCTTAGCAGATTTGTTATAAATTTTAATGCTGGTTTTGTAAATTTATAATCAAACCACTATACAACACAGAATTTTATGAAAATGCAAATATTATATTGGGTTAGTTGATACTGACAATTGACCTACTTAATAATTTCCTGTAGTCCTAGTGTCTGCCTTACTTTCTTCTATTAATATTCATTAGTATTGTTCCCTTTGTGTTTATTTCAGTAGAATACATGGAACAGAACTAAGAACACTTATTTTGTCTTGTGGGTGAAACTGAATCTTTCAACATGATATAAACTTTGTCATAGAGCTGTTTTTGCATTTGGTTTGAGATTAGATAGCTAGATTACACATTAGAATCCCTGGCTGTCTCACAAGTAACAAGCTGGCTATAGAGTTGTTCATAACATTCCTCAAAAATCTATTTCCCTCTTGTTTCAAGATTTCTTTCCTTTTGAAGTTAAGGGCACAAAATGCCTGTGGTCAATTGTAAATTACAGTAGGCTGAGTTCTACTTTATTGTAGATTTCATTTAAATGTTTGCTAAATTAGAGCAGATACCTGGCCATTAGGCTTTGCTTGTTCCAGATAAAAACTAGATTTAAAAGATTATATCTAGCATCCATTTAATTAAAAAAGCAGCTTTGATGCTAGACAGCTGTTTTGCTTAGTCAGCTCAAAGTGGAGGAGATGCCAAGGAACTGGCCTGTTTTCAGTGTTTCATAGTAGATGCTTATTGAAGAGTAGATAAGCAATAGCATTGGTCATTCCTGTGTTACTCACTGAATGTGCAGCAGGAGGGAATGAGTATTTGCAGTGCTTTACTTTTCTTTCAATGTCCCTTTCTCTGCCTCTCCCTTTAGTGGACTTGTGTCTATGAATTCCAGGAAGGAGCCCCTGTGCGCCCCGTCTCGCCTCGTTGTTCCCTGCGATTGACTCATTGCATTGAAGAAGCCAATGTGGGCCGGGGTTACATCAAAGAACTTTGTTTCAGTCCCGATGGCCGGATGATTTCATCCCCGCATGGCTTTGGGATCCGCTTGTTGGGGTTTGATGCACACTGCAGCGAACTTGTCGACTGTTTGCCCAAAGAAGCCAGTCCCCTGAAAGAAATCCGTTCCCTCTACTCTCACAAGGATGTGGTACTGACAACCAAGTTTTCTCCAACACACTGTCAGATTGCCTCGGGGTGCCTTAGTGGACGTGTTTCTCTGTATCAGCCAAAGTTCTAGGCACATCTTGCATCAACAAGACCTTCAGATGTTTGTGGTTTTTACTTCAGTTTAGTTGAAGTGTGTTCTTTCTGAAACCTCTAAATCCAGATAAGATCATAGTTACTATGATCTCTGAACATAACAGTGGAACGAATTTCCAGCACAGCACTGTATTCATTCTCATACTGCATCCACAAGTCTGCTTCCATGCACTGTGTTTTCAGCCTTCCAAGCAGACGTCTGCTCCTGCTGATCCTGTGCCATTGAGTCATTGTTCTGGTTTGTTTGTACCATAACACTTGTTGATAATTTCCTTCAATGCAACTTGAAGTGGACTATTTGAAATAAACGTAGAGGGGACAAGGGTAGCAGTTCAGCCAAAACTCGCCCAGGCTCCCTGGGTACGACACCTCCTTGTTCCAAAGGAGCTGGACTTCCTCACGTACGCTTCCTTGGCCTTTTCTGTTGCTGAAACTACTATATGGTGATTATTAGAAAATGAGCTGCTTTTCTACATAACTAACACAATTAGTTACTGTCACAAAAAGAAAAGAAAATTTTGTTTTCATTTATATATTAATTTGGTTGTTTGTCATTGGCTAGCAAAATGAGTCAACTTTCTGTAATGTTTTGCTGCAGTTAAAACATTTTGTTTTCTGTGATTGCATATATTGTGTTTATTGACAGAAGGAAGAGGTTCTGGATGGAGATGTAGCTGCATTTTTTCCTCAGAGAATTTAGTAGGAAAAGACTGGGGCAGGGAAGCAGGAGTTGAATGGGTGAAGACCCTGCCCTGTAACCACTGCAGACGAACTGTTTGGATGTTTTGTACAATGGGGGTGTCCTTGGTCGACCTCTCTTGGGCAACTTTGACTCCTCAGCCGCCAGGGTATCTGTTGTAGGGAGCTTTCCACATCAGTAACATTAAACCTTCATCCCATGTTTGAAACTTAACACTGCAGAATTTTCTGCTGATGTTAAGACTATACCCCACCTGACTGTTCTTCCGCTCCTCACCTGCACCATTGCTATGAGAGGAATTCTTCACAGTATCACCAGATAAGCCTTTCTTCACATGTACTGTCAGTTTGGGAATGGATTAAAAGCATGCCTGTCTACAGTAAGATCTATCTGGATTTAACTGGGCTTATCATAAGATGTGGAAAAACATTAATGTTCACCATTAAATCACATACTAAGTATGAATGCCAAGTTTTAGCTGTCAAGTTAATATAGCTAACCTTGTAAATGCACAGTTATTTCAGTCTCGTATGTCCATATCAGTTTATAATATTCTCATCACTTACATGTTCCAAGATCTTTTTTTTTTTAGTGTTTCACTAAGGTTTTGCTGAGCAATCACACACTCAATTCAGCAGGAAACTTTACCTAAAAAGGACTGTCATATTTTGGTGTTCAGATTCACTATCTCCAGCTTGACAGAGCATCCTTTTAAAAAGTTGACTCTTAAAAAGCCTTTTGCAAAATATGTGTTTGGGGAAAAAGAAGACATCTATGAAGATGAGATAGCTGGGAATACATAAGCCTGACGATCCTTTTGCAGTTTTGAATTTGTGTAGGTAGCATACTCTGGGTGTTGGTGGAGAAGTCATTGAAACTTAAGGCTCCTCTGGATTATAAGAAAAAAATCTTAAATTTCCTCTTTTGGAGAATTTATTTAGTAATACAAAGCCTTCAATATTGGGTATTTGGTAATCTGAGGACTAGTTAATTACTCCTGCATTGGGTTTTCATCATCTCTAGCAACTGACTGCTAAAGGATTACATTCAAGTAGTCAAGTATGCACAGCTGACAGACTTCCTACTGTTTGGTAAAAGTCCTAAACGTTCTATTCTCATGGGTTTTTAACAGAAATATTTGGTGATGGTGTCTCAGTAGAATATCATCCCAGCTGGAGGAGGAAGAATAATTTTTTAAGTAAAAATACTCAGTTTACTTAAAATGCAAATAAATGCCCGTAGTCATCTCAGATAGCAACTTGAAATGTTGAAGTGTTCCATAGCATATCTTTTGAGGAATTCCGTTGTTGCTGAAACTATTGTCTTGAACTTGAAAGTAGACTGATGAAATCATAAATTGAGAGATGCCCTGTTTTACAAAACTGACAAGTTCAAACACTTGTACCTTTTGAATGCTTTTGGAACTGTGTGCAAGGAACACAGAAAGGTATTTTTTCACTTTAATTGGCCAGGCCATGAAAAATGGGGCCTAGTGACTGAAGGAATAAAATACGGAAGTGTATCTGAGACCAGTTAGAAATACATCACTTCCATTTGCAGCCAGCTCCTTTTGAGTGCGTATAGCAGCCTGTGAACCTGAACCTACATCTGGGGCAGCTTGGATTTGTTGGTTTGTTAGAAACAGTTCAGGGGGACTTCCCTTGTCTGTGACTTAAAGCAATGGAAGTGAAATGTGCAGAAAACTTGAGGACAGTTGTGGAATACGAGATCTTTATGCAAAGGAGGAGCTAAGCTACAAGGAGTTTTTAATTGGCCAAGCTGTTTGGGGAAAACAAAGAAACAAAAAACCCAGTAGCAGCGAGTGGCAAAACTTCTGGATACTGTGTTCTTGACATGAGTCCGGTGGAAGTGTTAAGTATCCTGTTCCTGAAGTATTTTGAACCAATGTAGTGTGACTGTACGAATATTTGCACTTCTCTGCGCTCTGCTCCATTAAAAGTTGTGGCCTGTTAGTAATAAAGAAACAGGTTCTTCCCCCGTCCCTGCCCTGGACCATGATGGCTTTTTCCGTAAGCACTCGCTTCCCTGCTTCTAGGCTGCTGTTTTCTCATCTTATTTAATGTTTTACTAAACATCATTAAAGGGGCTATAGGTAGCATTTTGAAGAAATCTTAAATGCTGTTCTCACAGGCTTGAACTGTGTTCGTTTTGGAGGCGAAGAAGCACCCATGAAATCAAAGCAGTTCTTGGGTCTGTTTGTTTTCATAGCTGGTGTTGGTTTTTCCTATTGGAAATTCCTTGAACTTGTAGATTGCTTGTGACTTTAATTCTATGCCTGTTAATATGCACTGAGTGTTACTTTTTTAATTCTACCTCATGATACGCTGTTTTTTACAAGAGTATTGTGCTGAAACATTGGACATTAACTTTTCTGTATAAAGAACTGTTACTCCAAAGTGACAGGTCATCACATCTAGATACTACCGGCAATGCACAGCACCAAGAGTGCTGGGTTGACCAGCCCTGCCCAGCTCTGGAAACCAGGGCCACTGAACAGGAGTGTAGGACTGATGCTAAAAGTTGACCTGGTTAAGGGGTTTGAGGATATGTTTATGCTTTTGTAGCGTGTCCAGCAGATACATATTAAGATGGATTCTGTCCATGTATGCTGTAGAAATGTTACCTAGTTCTTCTGATTACATTTGTAATAAGTTTGAATTAGAGTAAGTAGGTAATCTTAGATTTTGATCATTTGATTACTCCTTTTCAACAATACTTGGAAATTTTCAATGAAGGTTAATCTGTTTTACCTATGGAGTTCACGTAACACTTACTGAAACACTATTCAATATAACTGATATGCCTTGCAGTTGCACCTTGGTGGAAGGAGTGATTTTCAGTTGTCTTTCTGAACAATATTACCTTGCCTTATTGAATTAATGAAGTAATTTGTTGTTGAGCTTTGGATTATTTCTAGATACTAAAAAAAAAAAAATATTATTGTTATGTTCAAAAGATGAGTTCTTAACCTTCCAGAACTATATAAAACTGTCTGAAACACATATAATAATGTTTCAAACAGTAGATGAAAGACCGCACTAACAGCAAAGTATGATAGTGGCTTATACCAGAGGTTTCTTTAAACTGGTTTACTTTTGACCACTCGAGTGTTACATCACTTGATAAATTTTACAGTATTTCTACTGAAGATAGAGCTCCCTGTTAGATTATAAAGCATGCAGTATGTTTTTTAAATGCATGGTTTCATATTCATTAACTTCTCTAGTAAAAGAATTCCTCCATTCACAGCATGGCTGATCAGCAGCAGCAGATAAACTGCTTAATTAAGATCTCTGTAGGAATGTCAACGTATAGCAGTGTCTACAGGAACCAAACTAGTGTTTGAAGCTAGTAATCCTTTTGTAATAGTCCAGTGACTGTATGTTGTGGGAGTAAATGCATTTTCTGAGTATTCCATTAGAGGTCAGTCTTTAAATCAGTGCAGCACTGTTAGACGTTTGTGGGGAGGGGGAGAGAAGCTATTAATGGGACTATACAATGACATTCATGTATATGTACTTTCTCTGTATGAGGGGGGTGTGTGTATTTCAGTGTATATACAGCCATGGGGCATCAGTCCACTTGTCAAACATGGGTAGTTCAGGGAAAAATGTAACCTCCAAACAGAACTATTGGGGATAGGAAAAAAAGCACAGTGACACAGAGACACACACACGTTTGTTTGCACTCTTGGAGTCTTGGCAAGGACAGTTTGATTGCCTACTACCAGAATTAGAATGTAACCATCAGGTTTTTCTGCAGTTTTGGGGGGTGGGGGCGGTGATTGATTTTGGTGGGGGGTTTTTTGTTTGTTTGTTGGTGGCGTTTTTTTTTTTAATTTGGGTAACACTGATGTGGAGAAGGTCCTGATACCGTAAAACATGGGTCTGTTGCTCTATGAAATGTGAACTCTTAGAAAAAAGAAATACACTTGCCAAATGAAAGCTTTTAAAAAATCTAGTTTACAAGATTCTAAAAAGTTGGAGTAAAAGGAAAAAGTCAACAGCCCATAGTATTTTTGTCCTGGAGGAAAAAGAAACTTCTCATTTCCTGATCTTAGTCAAAGGTGCATTTTCTTAAGCACTAAGTATCTTCAGTTAAGTATAAGGTTTTTAATACAAGAACAAATTGTGCATGTAGAATATTTTGAAATACCTGAGATTTCATAGTAAAAATTGTAGCCTTTTAATACAGTATAGAAAGTATCAGAACTGCTCTGAAAATATTGTACTTACAGCCGTACAGTAACTTAATATTTGTGGACAGTTTCTCTTGCTTGCATAATAAATTAAACATTTAATAATTCAATGAATTAAAATCTATTTTAATGTATTTATCTTACACTGAGCTCTGTTCTGTCATGCTCACTGGTTCTTGCCTACTCTCTACAATTAAGAGGGGAAAAAAAACAGTGGTTAAAGCAAAACAACTGCTGTGCGCAGGTCTCTTTCCCTCCATGGGTTTCTTTGCTACTGTCCTTACTGTCAGGCATGCTTATGAGAAGAAACAGCTCACTCATGAAGCCTAGAAAGCAGGACAAATGTTGGAGCTAGTATGATAATTACAAACTAAGTGTAATTAACCATTCCATTGCCTGAGAGAGTATCTGTGGGGTAGAGGGCTCCTTTTGTTCAAACAGCAAACCCTTGAAGGCAGCATTCTTGTTCTTGTAAAATTTTGCTGAAGGAGTCTTGCAGTGGTGAGCAGGCAACTATCTGTCCACAGGGAACAGCCTGAAACTATCCTGCCTGCTCTGCCATGGATAGCTGTGTCCAAGGCAGAGGGTTGTGGGTTGCCTGTGCCAAGAGTGACACTCTGCCCTGTTACACTTCCACTTGCAAAGGTTTGGGCTCCAGTGAGGCCACCTGGCACAGTGAAAACAGCATCTGCACAAAACCGGGTTCTGCCTCAGCATCACCTGAGGAGC